TAATTGATTGTTTGCGGCTGATGGAGTGGGGAGCGTTTATTCTCCTCTTGAACGTGCACAAACTTCCGGTTTGTATAGGTCGTTCGGATGACTCGTACTGCAGGTGTCCTTTTACGTGGGCTATGGTACTGTTAACAGATTATCTTGAAAGGCTAAGTATATCTCGATTTTTATTTCGGCTCTATTATGGTGGCTCGTATACCTCATTGACTGATAAGGAAGCACCGCGAAGCTTGGATAGCATAGCCTTTCGTACAAACGTGCAACTTTTTTTTTAGCAACGTTTGAGAAGTTTGCGCGTGCAACCGAAGGGTCATCAAACTCCTGAGCCTGCTTAAATATACAGTGCAATCAATATATTGTTCACCCCGATCATCGTCAATTACGGGCTAAGGTAGCTGCAGACCCGGACCCCAGACTGTCACAGGGCCCCTGTGCTGGCCCCCGGAAATAAAAAAAAAAAAAATAATAGACGGTAGTCGTTATAATTTTAGTGCACTACTTCAACCAAAGCTAAATGCGCCTCCCATGCAGGCGGTACACATTTCAAAAAAGGGTCCTCTGATGCAGCCCTCTATCTGCTTTCATGTCCACCATTTTTTATTAAAATATACTTTCATGGGGTTTTAGAATGCAGATTAAAAAAAAAAAAGTTACTGAGCCTGCCTAATTTCCTTCGGATAAGCCAATAAATATAGTTGATATTTTCTTTATCAGAATTAAATTATTGCACGGTGGCGCGCTCGACGGTAGCCATAATTAAATTCCGATGAAGAAAATATCAGCTTTATCTATCAACTGATCTGAAGAACATAGACGGAAATAACCACTTTTTTAGCACATTATTCCAAAACCCCAGAAAACTACAATTTAAGGTACACTCCCAACGTAAAATGCATACGTTGCAAGATACGGAGGGCGCTCGGCGAGTGACGGGACTGGTAATATGCTTACACCCCACAAAAAACGGTCTGTGCCGTATGCACTGGGAAACCATGGATGGATGGATGCTTTTAATAAAGTTGTTCTCCTCTTCCCAACTGCTGAACCGTTTATAACGGGCGGTAGCTTGCGCCATCTAGCCTACAAACCAAAAGTATGGTTTTTCCTCCCCTCTCCATTTCCTTCCCCTCTGTCTTTATGTAACTAAGTATCACCAGGCGGTGTGGGATGGTGCCGGGATGACCTCTGTGAAACATCATGCTCAGTGCCACAATGCAGGCAGTTTTCTTTTTTTTTTAGATTTAAGCATATCGCCATGCCAGCCTCGTCATTCGTCGAGATGGCAGCGATCGCCTCTTCCAAGTGCTTTGCGGTAGAGCAGACGCTCTAGATTTCTTAAGGGTGTATGATTTGAAACATGGAGGGTAGGAAGCTTCTGGAGGCGACACGACGCCACCAGAGGTCAAGCCAGAAGTGTGGAGGGACGCGCCCCCAACGATGACCAAAACAGCTGTTCGTTGACCAGTCCTGGCCGCCGAGCAGCCAGTGGCCGGTGGCCAGAACTGGGCGCTTAGAAAGCGTGGCCCAAACAGGGACTGGGCAGTTGGCAGTTACCAAGTCTATGGCCACAACCACGCCGTATCTTCAACATTCAGGAAACACGTATTCTCTGGAGACAAGTCGCCGGCGTGCCACTGGGTCTCGGTTCGGTTCATGACCGAGAGGCAACGCACAGCACCCGCGTGCACCCCCGACTTTCCACCACACTCTCCAAGCTTCCCCTTTCACCTTGCCCCGATGCAACCACACTGTACCCAAAATGACGACGACTCCTCACTACTGGCTTGAGTAGACACACTGCACCCGGACTGAGCGAAACCCGACCTTTCTTTGCGCTGATATTTCTTGAAAATATTCTGACTTTGTTATTTTTGTTACTATTGTGCATCGAAAAAGAGCCTGTAAGGTATTGTGAATAAAAAATAAATTATTTGAAAGACAAACGGCCGATGTTTACCTCTATTTCAACCTTCTTTCCCTAACATATTTTGATGTTTCCGATCCTCCATTACAAATAGGTACAGGGTGAGGCCGTAAGTAGCAGAACATTTGGCACGTCTCGCAAAATTCGAATTCCAAACGTACATACATGAAACTAGGCACACGAACATCACTTCCCGAGAAGTGTTATGTCTAATTTTATTCATAGCTCAACTGAGAGATGATGAAATATAAAAAAAATAAATAAAGTAAAAACGGCGGCCGTATATTTTCTATGTCTATATATACCCCCCCTGTTCGTCGACTGCTCACTGGTTTGCGAGCTTGCTCCCGGGTAGCTTACTTAATAGCTTACTTAATAGGATAATAGCGATAAGTAATAATTTTCACAAAACAAAGGAACGATGACCACCTGGGAGCAAGCTCGCAAACGTGAGCAGACGACGAACATCCGGTGTAGGACACAAAACAATGCACGGTCGTCGTTTTTGTAATATTCTTTATATTTTGCCACCTCTAAATTGAGATGTAAAAAAAAAAAAAAAATCATGTGCCTAGTTTTAGGTATGTACGATTAAATTCGAATTTTGAAAGGCATGCCAAATGTGCTAGCCCTTACGGCCTCACCCTGTATAAAGCGGAGTATAGCATGGTGTTCGTCAGGAGCGCCTGTTCATCCGATGCACAAATTTAGGCGGCACAGTTCGTGTTATGTTGGAGCTAAATTCGTTGCGCTGTGTATCTCCTCAGCTTAGTCGTGCTTACTAATGCGCCCACGACTCTCTGTAAACACACCATCGAGCCGGAAAAATTTCGTGGGATCTCAGACCCCCCTCGATTTCCGACAGGGGGTCTGAGAGCCCCTTGGAAAGTAGATCCCACCGTCGCGCCCCTGGAGGCGAAGTTGAGAACTAAACCCAAGGCTACAACATAAATTATTTGGGCATGTTTCTGACGTAGCGGCGTTCGAATGTGTCAGCCGAGGTGTCCGAAATAGGGCGAAGAGTCTTATCAAAGAGAAGGCAGCGAGTGACCGAGAGTGTGAGTTTGCACATTAAATAAACCCAAGGGATCTAAATGAAATTCCGCAGACTCTAAGCTCCCAAAGAGACAGCTGGTGCGTGGATTCCCTTGTGCGAGTCCGTGCACCGCAGTTCATTCATGAGATGCATGGTGAGGATGTGACCCAGATGTCCGGCACGTGTCGGGCAAACGCCTCATATATTTAGCCGTATAGTCACGTAGTATAAACTAACGGCAGTTGTTTCGAGCCCTGTTCGCAAGGCAGGTTGAGTCGCGCTCTAAACAATGCGTGTTCTTGCGGACTTGGGGCGCGACGCACTAACGCGATGGAGTCTGTAAAGACCTCCTCGGCATGAATATCGCGCCGCGAGATTGCCTCGCGGATACTTTTTGC